GGTTCAGCAAAGGGAAATGTGACATTTTGTTTGGGGGATTTTGATTCATTTCCAAAACGGAATTTCAAAAATTTTCTTTTTTATTAGAAGAAAATATCACCCTGATCTATTAAAAGAAAAACAGTGAAACCTGCAGGAAGTTCTTTGACCAACTATGTTTCTTTTCTTTTTACTTCCTTGCGTTTCCAAACATCTATTTGTTAAGTCTGAAATGTCACACTCTTGCTCAGGCAATAACCCTACTTTCATAACAGTATCCTTGAAATAACTTCTATGGATAGTTTGATTTTCATCCACATCTGACTAGAGGAAGAACAGGAAAAAGGTCTAATAAGCAAATGACGGCTCTGGTCACCTAAGCAGGAGAAAGTGCAGAAGGTTTAAACAGTTTGACTGGATCTTCAGTTAGGTTTCAGGGAGGCATTTTGAATTCTTAAAATAGCTTCAGAAATGGTAGTAGGTGCTTTTATAGCTTTTACAGAACTGCTAAGAATTTCATATGATCACTTTTGATCCATTTCTTCATCTTGTTACCTTCTCTGTTTTCCTCATTTTCCTGTTTCTGCTTCCTTTGCTACATGAAATACGGGATTGTGTCCCTGCATCCGAGCCCTCCCATGGCACACCTTCGCTTTGCCTGTGGGATGCAGAACGGCCTGTCCGTGCCCTGCCGTGCTGCTCAGGTGGCTTTTGCAGCCTTCACAGGCACCACAGCACTGGTGGTGGGGGGGCACCTGTGGAGGTCACTAGTCCAGCCTCCCACTCAGAGCAGGATGAGCACAGCAGCTCTGTCCAGCCAAGTCTTGTGAAGCTTCAGATGTGGAGGATCCCACAGTCCTTAAGCGATCTGTCCCAATGCACTACCCTCCTGGAGGAGAGATTGGCGCTGTCATCTTTCTGATTGCCCTTCAGGTAGATTTAAGCTGCTGTTGGATCATCCCTTAACTTCTTCTGTATACCAAATTAAACAGGCCCTGCCCCTCAGTATCTCCTCACAGGTCCTGTGCTCTAGACCTCTGGCCGCTTGGTCTCCTGCCACTGGATGCTTCTCCACATCCCCCTTGAACTGAAGGGCACAAAAGCGCACACAGATTTCCGGTTCTGGCTAGTAGAGGAAGAGAATAATGTCTCTGACTTTGCTGGCAGTGCTTCTCTGAAAGTAACCTAGTATGTGGTATATTTGCAATGAGAAGGCAGTGACGGGTGTTCACTTCACCCCGGTTGCTTCATCAAGATTTCTACCCACTGTCATTTCCCAGCTGGTACCAGTGCAGCCTGTACCTTGGGCCTGTTGCACCTGATGCGCAGAACTTTGTGCTTCTTCACACTGGATTTCACAATGTTCCTGTTGGTCCGGTCCTCAGATTTATCAAGGCCTCTCTGGACCTCATGTTGCTGCATCTATGCTGCAGCTGGTATTACAACACTAGCTATTCACAGGCTATTCAGCTATCTCTTTACCACATTGCAGTCTATCATGCTCTGTAGTTCAGCCATATCCTTAAGCTTGTACATGCACTAAGATGGGAACAATACCCATTATGATTTCCATGAAAGCCAGGGTATTACCTCACATTGAAAGAGGATAAAATTTGTCAACTAAGTCATTTTGAAAATTCAAATGGGGCTAAGATCCATAAAGGGATGCTTAATTGTCACTCCATTAGCTCCATCCAACATAAGTCTCTGCAGGCCTAAAGCTCCTTGGTGCTGATATTTCTGTTGATGAGCAACAAGGCTATGGATCTGAGAGAAACCTTATCTCATGCGTAAATCTTGGGGAGGCTTTTTTAAAAAGGCATTCTCCCAACTTCTTTTTTTGAGGGGAAGGTCCCTGACTGGACCTCAGAAAACCGTCACACCTGAGCAGACTGGGATTTGGCTGTGCTTGGCCCACCTGTGACAGAAAGCGTTGAGCAGTGGTCCCCAGTCTGTCCTTACTGGAGAGGTGTGAATGATTTTTAAGATAGTAAATACCACTTAGTTCTTCTCAAATCAGAACTGGTAAATGCAAAACAGACAAATCTGAATATCTGCGGGCAGCCTCCTCTGAGTCTGGCCACCAGGGTGAGCACAGGAGGTATAGATAGGATGGCTGGCAGCCATCCTGGAAGAGTGGGAATCGGGAAAGGGTGAGGAGCTGGCCTCAGGACTCTGAGCATTGCTAGGTTTCACAAACCAAGCTCCTCTGCTGCCTATCAAGACACCATTGGGCTGGGAGGAGGGTTTTTTTCATCTTGAAGACCAGTAGCACCTTGACGAGGGGCTGTCCTGGAAAGTTGAGATTATGGGTTAAAAGTTCCTTAGATTGCAGTGGTCTGAAAACTTGCATTTCCCACCTTGTAAGAAAACAGCCTAACCACTGCGATGCTGAATACACAAACAGCATGTTCAGAGTAAGCAGTTTATAGCTGTGAATCTGTTTCGCGGATGCACCTCTATCTGGACAAGAGAAAACGCTTCCTGTGAGAAGCTCTCTGGTTTTGCTGTCCCCACGCGCAGCCTGCTGGCCCCAGCCACGGGCGTTTCATTCCCACACGCTCAGTCTAGAGAGGACTAAATGAGTGCCATAAGCCTGCAGAGGGAACTGGGCGCGTTGCAGCCTCATCCACTGTGCTTACATCTTGTTCTGGATCCAGCCTGAGTGCTAAGGCAACGAGGGAGTTGTCAGAAGAGCACCTGTCACCTCCACGCACGTGCTAGCTGACTTGCTTGCATCAACTGAAATCCTCCTGGATGAATGTGATGCACAGAGACTGGATTCAAATGTTTTTTGTGTTCCTTGGGGCTGCTTAGACAACCAAAAATATATTAATTTTTTATTTATTATTTCTCACTGCCCTGGTTAGTTCCTTCCTTACTTTGACTTTCATAATGAACCTCTTATTGTGATGAACGCAACCACGGGCGTCAGTTAGGATGCGCGTGGGATAAAACATTACCTAGCATGGGTAAGGAGTCTGAATCCCCGAACACTGAGAACAACGTGCACATACAAAATTACCCATGTGCATGAGTGTTCGAAAGATCAGGTCCTAACTTTGCAAGCCTGATGCAAATGGAAAATCATTTTGTGAATCATCAGCCTGAGTAGCAGGCAGATTCCAACCTCCCACTCCTGTTTCTCTAGACTCTTCTTTCCAATTCTCCCTTTTTCTTCTGCCTGTGAGTAGGAGGATTTTTTCCTGTTTTTCTTTTTCTTTTTTTTTTTTTTTGAACCCTTTCAAAGTCCATTTGTGCACCGTATAGATGCACAAAAACCTGTCTTCTATGAGTACCCAATCTTGCAAGCTGCTGGAGCAGCCCTCGACATTTTTTGTTCCTGGGTCTGAAACATGTCTATATAGTTGGCCCTGTAGGCCCAAACCGTAAGGCTCTGAATGAAATGGACTTTCTAAGAGTCACTTAATGCAGGCTTCTAACACTGTCATTGCTGCCATAAGTGTAATTCTTTTTCTGGAAGCATCGGACAAATTGTCGTGATGGAAACTGAAATGGGTTTAGACACCCTTGTCTGTAAATCACTTCTAATGAACCAGAGTGCAGCAGGGGAAATATCCACTCCCTGCACTTCCGTGCTGTACATTTGTTTGTTTAGCTGAGTCAAAGGAAATAAGATCAGAGGAGGGAAGTGATTAAATAGCAGCAAACAGGTGCTTCACACTCCAAATTGGTGTCATAACTCACAAATACACTATTAAAGCTACTTTAAGCTCAGTGCTAGAAGCAGGAATAAAATTCTTTATTTTCCCATGGAAATTGACTTGAAAAAATTACAAAGATTTTGAGAAACGACTCCATATTGAGAAGTAAATGTCCTGTTCTCCAGTGGAGAATTGGAGAAGATGTGAAACATCTAGAAGAGGCTGAGATAAGAGACAAGCTGACCTGGTGACAGAACTAGCCGTTTCTGCCGCAATGCCTCCAACACCCTACTCTCTGGCAGCTGATCAGGCCAGAGAGGTGCTAAGCCATTACTGTCCTCTCCCTTCTTTTTTGTTTCTCTTCCTATACTCTTACTCATTTTCTCTACTGCTTGTAAAAATATTTGACCCTCTGAAAGTCTGGGCATGTTTTTCATTCCTATCAGTTCTTACTGGCGTTAGTTAGCTTTAGCAGTCTGAGATACACGGATCCCTCTCCTTCCCTCGCAAGCTTTAGTTTTAAAATCTTTTAATTCACCTGTTGATACGCTGAAGATTCATCACAGTTTTAAGCTTTGGTTCACAACTCTCCCTAATCAGAAGCTAAATGCACTAGGGGAAAAGCACCAGAAATAGTAGGGCTGCGTCATTTTCTCTTTGCATTACCAGTGTTACCTTTGCACCATGTAGGGTGCGAGACCTCCTGAGACCCCTTTCTGCTTTCAACATCAGGCACAGTGAAGACTCAGTCCAAGCTGGGGTGCTTCTTGTCTATACATACATATATACTTGTGTGAAAAGTTAGACCACTTCAAACGTGTCTACCCTCAGTTACATGACCAATGGCATAACGTTTGCCTCCATATTTTATATGAAACCTCAATTTGTAAAAGGTGATTTCCTGAGTGAACAAAAAAGAATTACTGGCCAGATACAGTAACTATCTGAAAGATACTGATTGTTTCTTGTGACATCCCGATCAAATAATTGTCTTGCTACAAAGTGGGGAAGTATGGGCACTCCTAGAGGAGTTAACGCTCCTTACGAATACCAGTAATTGTGCACAGCACGCAGGACCTCCCTCACCTACTGCTAGTCAGCTAAAACATAGGCATCTATCCTAAACTACTTATTGAGGTTTTTTTCCACAGCCGTTAAAGATGTAAAAGCACTACCAGCTGATTGTTCACCTATCCTAATAAAGGGTTCTAAGGCAGGTAAGATATATCACCCTTTGGTGAGACTTGTCTCTTTATTTTGACTGCAGAGGGATCTGAAAGACTGGCTTAGACTAGAAATACTGTTCCTCCAAAGTGTTAAGATGCTTAGGTCCCATTGATCTGAGGATCTGGGTATTATACCCGTTTTTGTCCCCTTCCTAGGAAGGCAGGTCATCTTTTCTTGACGTAAAGATCCATGGAGTGATGCTACCAGCCTTTCTTCCAAGCTTCCAGGCTGGTCTTGTGCAGACCGCTCAACACCAAGTCTTCCCATCAGTCTTCTCCCTTAATCTGGAATCCTCAAGTAGAAATGTGTGGGGCCTGACAACGCTGAAAGTCATCTGACTGAAACCAGCCAATGCTTCTCAGCACAGCTGAAATAGCAGGTAATTGGTACTCCAAATGGGGCACCTGTAATGAAATTCCACAGATTTTAGGCACCCAATTCTATTTTGGCATCTAGGCCTGAGGAAACCCTCGGAACCCTTACAGCACCGATATAGCTCATCTGATTTCTTCATTCAGAATTTTTTCCTCGGTGTTCTCTTGCTCCTTATTATAAAGCCACAACTCTATGAAGAATTAGTGTGGGCCTTAATCAGGTCAGCTTTGGAAGTAATCTTGTCACAGACTTTCACACAGGAGGCCATGGGACTGAATACTTTATAGTGCATTTGAACAAATACCCCTATAGTTTTGATTTGGCCTTTATAAGTCTGCACATCTGGAATGTAGTTCTCTGGTACTTTACTGCCAAAGACTCCTGAGTTGCCTTTCACGTTTTCCCTTTGGCAGATGCATTCTTCCTCACCAGCACTGAAAGTGGAGATGAATTTTTGCCGGTAAAAGGAAAAATGTCATAATGCATGGGAATGCAGATGAAATATAGTTCAGCATGGAGTCCAGACAACAATAGGTAAGCAAGAAGGTTTGTCACGAAATGAAGGAAGATAGAGCTTTGGTGCTCTTAGGAGGAGTGTAAATCTCCTCCTAAATTTTTAGTGCTCTCTAGTATATCTGTTCCCCTAGCAACATTTTCTTTGGCTTTAGAAATGTTTTGTCTCTGGTCCAAACAGTTAGCTTAATTGCTTTGGTTATCATTCAGTTTATGCTGAGGAACTTTTCAATCTATTATAGTGTGCTGAGGAAATGTAAACATCATTCTGTACACTCATTATATGCACTATTCCATTTTTCATTATTGCTTTGGGTCATGATTTTTGACTCCCTCCTGAGCTTTGTACTCACAGCCAGATTCTTCAAGGAGTTCAGGCAAAGTGCAAATGTATCCAGAGCTCCTTTAAAATTGGTGTACTCAAAACTCATCGAGCAGTGCACACTAAAGCCAGCTCTGGACGTGTCAGACAAATTGTGCGCGAGGCTTTGTCAGTAATCTGCACACGCAGGTGCCATCCCCAGGGCTTCCAAATCCCGCAGGACATCCCTAAGAGCAGCACCAGGAAAACTACTGTGAAAGTATGAAATTATACCCTTCCTTTCTTTCCTAGTGATTTTGCAAAGTTACCAGCTATGAGAAAGATTAATACTTACACCTCTGAAAATAGAATATTAATAAATATTCCCTAAGTGACCTGCAAGCGTGATCCAAGCTGACACCACAATGACAAGACAGTGGATTATCACCGTGAGAGTGGACATTATATTACAAGAGCAGTGTCTTTTTTGCCTTTTCATGAAATGCAGCCCTATGACTGACAACTTACTGCTGCCTTTGGGCAGTCAGTTAAGACCAAAGAGTAGAAATGGCAGGTATTTTTGCTTCCAAATGTCTCCTAGGCACTGTATCTGTGATACGGCCTGTGACTGAAAGCTGCCCTTTTAGCAGGCAGGAGTTAACCTAAGTCCCTGACAGAGGTGGTTTCCCGCGAGGCATGCAGGCCCTGGCCACGACATAAGGGCACCTGGTCCCCACGAGGCACCGGGGACCTGGTGAGTCAGGAGGTGCTCGCACCCCCTCGCCTGTGGGCACAGAGCTCGCCCCACGAGCACCGAGCGCTGCTATTCTGTTTTTTTCTGTTTTTCTGCTGCTTCCTCGCCCCCCCCGCAAGAGCAAGATGCGTTGCTCGCCGACGCCGCGGCTGGCTCCCACTCCTGCCTGGCGGCTCAGTTCGCTCTTCCTTTTAATTCCCTTGTCGAAACTTTACTAGCAGAAGCGCTTGTAAGAGCTACAGGTCCCTTTATGCACTGCAGTCAAACATTTACTTACAGTTGCTGTTCCAGCAATAACAATTAAATTAAACATGAAGGGAGCATAGCTGCCTTGGCGATTTACAAGCTGGAGCTGTAAATCACAGCACATAACTAATTGATGACATTCTGTGCCTGCAGCTGTACGCTGACGTTTTACAAGTGCAAGGGATGCTGCGATTTCTAACTGTTTCTGATGACGAAAGAATAGGAAGCGGATTATCCAGGCTGTTATCCCTGCACCCAAAGGCATAAAGGTCAGGTTAGGTTTCCGAAGCCAAACACAGGGCATAATGTGTAAGTAGCTGAGTTTGAGAGATTCTAGGAAGGGACTTAGACTCTCCCCCTCTCCTCCTCAAAATGTATTTTTGAATTTGCGAAACATAAGGCAACAACCAGGCTATTTCTGAACTGCTGAAATTGTTCAATTACATTCTTCAGTTGAAATGTGCTTCAGTGAACTTTTTGAAAGGATAGCCTTAAAATCACTGTAATATTAGGCTTTGAAAAAAATCTCTACTTGCTCAACTAGAACACGGGCAAAATTCAAGTCCGTGTTTTCAGATTGGATCTCCTGTGTCCTGCATATATCTAAGCCTCATGACTCAGATCCTTTCCCTCTTCCAGTGCTGTACCATTTGTAGATACTTTTGGCAATATATTTGTGGAATGAATATTCCACAAAAAACAAATGAACAAGTAACATAGGCCAGAAAGGTAAGCGAGGAAAAAAGATGAAACAGAAAATAAAGGTTGAAAGAGAGAGGTTTTCTAGTTACAGTTTTTGATTCATCTCTGCTTATGTTTGGCAAACAATCAGACCATCTCTATTTCTTTGGCATTTCCCTTCTGAGAGAGAGTGGAGCAGCGCAGCGCTTGCAGCTCTGAACGAACGTGCCAAACGACGACACTCAAAGAGCGCTAGCTGTTGTGACACAAGCAAACTGTTTCAGGTTTTAGATATACGTTATTTCGGAATCTTGGTCTTCCATAAGGTAAAAACTGTCGTTAAAACCGCCCTTTTTAACCAATTCTTTTGCTAGGGTTATTAATAATATCGTTCTTGACATTCTTGTCATTTTGAAAAAAATGTTCTGTTTTCAGATCACAGTCTGTCTAGCAGGTTTTATTTTATTTTATTTTAGGATGCCTTTGACATAAAGGTGTAGCATGTGTGGACCATTAATGATGTCACTGGCTAATGCAGGAGGACTGCAGACTTAATATTTGGGAAAGCGTTCCAGTTCTTGATCACTTTGGCTTTCATGGAAATTATGTATTTGTCTTAGGAAGAGGAGCCAACCACTCTTATTTTAGAATGTGTACACTAAAGCATTTTAGAAAAGAGAAGAAAATTAATTTCAACTGGAAAAAGAGCGAACCTCTTTTTACTTGACTAAGTCCTAAAATGTTAATTACATTCACAACTGAAAAATTAAGGGAACGCACAAAACTATAATAACAAAATATTTTACTAAAATATCATACATTCAATAATTAGCTCAACATTCACATGTTCTATGCAAATAATGCAAACATTGTCACACATTTTGAATTATATAGTATTCTGCACAAATTCAAGAATAGCAGCATTCCTGGCAGATACACTATACACGGTTAGCCCTTTTGTTTCATTCAGCTTTTACATAAGGCAAGTGTTTTGATTATAAAAATCTATTCTGTATTCCCAAAAGAGCCTAGAGGGTGTATACTTGTTCAGTAATATTGAATTAGATAGGATTTGATCGCACAACTTTCATGGAGATTTTCGAAAATCCTAAACTGAATTACGAATATGTTAGTTGATGAGTTAGGATTGTGAAAAATGTATTCATTTTTCTGTTTTCAAAAACTGATCTGGAACGCTGAAATATACATTAATCAGATTTGTTGATTTTTACACTCCTAACTGATAAACGAGAAGCACTAGAGTAACTTTCGGAGTAACTTTCCAAAGCTGTTTAGAAAAACCTGATTTAATGATCTTCTGACCCAAAAAGCATAAAAATGTTAGGAAATTGTACTACTTCTCCAGATAAACTGCCAAAAAAATGTGTCTGTATTACTTTATTAACCTACACAATTTTTTATTTATATGTATATGTACACAAACAACACTGTAGTATTGTGTTTTACAGTCCCAGTTATATTTCCAACCTTTCTATGATGGCCACTGGTAGGAAAATACACGTAATTTGGCAAAAAGCCACTAATGCACAGTTGTGATTGTGTTAAAAGCCATGATCCATGGCCTAAGCAGCAAAAGCTAATTTCATTAGCTGAAACATTTAAAATGAGTAACATAGTGGCTTTGTTTAAATAAATGAGTTTGCCTTACATGTAATCAGCTACTTTTCTTATATCACCTTTTCCAGAGCTATAACTTTATATTTTAAGTAATTATTTGTTCATTTACTGTATTCTTTTTCAGAGCAGCCTACTGGATGGGGAGAATTAAGAAATCCATTTCTAATTTATATAAGCACAAAAAAAATCATGTGTCCAGGAAGATAACATACAGCAGTCTAAACCATTCACCTGGGGAAATAATTAGCCAAAGGAGAGCAGCCAAATCTGTAATGTTTCAACCTGTGCTCATTTGCTGCTTATTAGATATTTAGTAGTGATAATCGAAATGCTTCAGAAAGGCAGGCCACGAGATGCCTCACAATGTATATTCAGTAGGGATGAATGACATACTCTGAATGAGATAATAAATAGATTAATGGGAATCTTCCACAGCTCACTAGAATTACAAGTACGCTCCCTGAAAACATCCGGAGTGGGATGGTTTGTTACAAGATCCCTGAGGACCTTATTCCCTGTGATGGAGTAGCTATGAACTTAGCATGAACTTCTGCCCCCAAAACATCAGGGCAGCTTCTGCAGATGCCATTAACAGAGACTAGCACCGTTTTCCCCATTAGTAGCTATGTTCAAGTAGGTAGGAACACTCCTGAACTGGAATAAAACTCACTGTCAAGAAGGCTAGCAAGAACCTGGCCCTCAAAGATGACTTTTGTGTGATGATAGAAGACCACAAATGGCTCAGCTAAGGCATGTTTTAACGCCATTGAAGAGCAGCCATCCTTGGGGGTGGCAACACAAAAATCTCTCTCCCGCAATGGGAGACTTGACCCTTCAGCCACAGACTCCGCCCGGCAGAAGACCAGCAGCTGCACTATCCCCGCAGCCAACTGCCACCAGACGTCTTGGATCTCAATGCCTGACGGAGGTGAGCAAGTTAACACATCTGTAGATAAATAAGTAATTATTCTGCAAACATGCAAGCTCCCTGGGACTGCACAGTCGGACTGCTGCTGTCGGCGGGCGTAAGGCTGGTGCGAGGTGCAGGGGCGGAAGTGCAGCATCCACCACGGTGTGTGCAGGGAGAAGGGACCCACAAGGGGCCGCAGGAGTATTTCTCTCAGTTCAGGAAGAGGCCAGGATGAATATTAGGGCACTCTGTGCTGTCACAGCTCACAGACCCTTACAAGGGGGTGTGCTAGGAGAGGCTAGAAAGTGTTCCCTTACTACTCAGTGTTTTACCATAAACTTAAGTAATTATCAGCTTGTACCTTCGCTACAACAATTAATGCCCCCCCCCCCAAAAAAAAAAACAAAACACTTCTGCAGGTTACATGGAAAGAAAAGTCATTATAATACTGTTGCTAGGCTTTATAAGTCTGACCATCCATGACTGCTGAAGGCAGCAGCAAAAGTAGGTGTGCTACAGCAGGGCTTTGAGCCCAAGGGCAGATGCAGTTGGGATGGGAGGCAGCAAGATGCTGTTCGACCTGGAGCAGGGCTCCCCACTGCATGGCACAGGGCACACGTTAGGGGAAGGGCAAACACCTCTGCTCACCCACCTAACCACCCGGGTAAGCTGTGTCCCTGCAAACACCAGACACGTAGCTGTTTCCTCAGTGGGAAACTTACTTCAAATAAAGTAGAACATTCTTCTGCCAAACAAACAAAAACGATTTATTTCATCATCAGCTGTCAAAAGTAAGTGCATGAGCTCAGTTTGCTCTACATCAGAAGAAAATATACAGCATATTTTTACTGTTCTGAAACGCTTCCTAGAGCATGAAGGGGCATATTCCTGCTTTGAAAACATTTATCCTGCTCTTTGGACACAAGCAAGTAAAAAGGGACACTTGGCCAGTTATTAAGTTCAATAAAAAGAAACAATAAAAATAAATAAACCCAAAGTAGTAAGATACCTTCTCCTATATCAGAAAATAAATCATTGAAAACCTCAAAAGACTGCAATATCTGCATCACTCTCTTCTCTTTTCAGTGCTGGATCTTTCCATGTGGCCTCTCAGAAAAGACTCAGAAATACTGACTGTACTGAACTTTTTCAGCCATCCTAAGTGTCTCAGTTAGGTATCTACCTTTATTCATATTATCCTTCCTCCAGCTGGAGGCGTGGGCTGTGGGGTTGTGCTCACCTCCGAGGGTGAGCTCTGCAGGCCCCAGGGAGGCGGGCGGTGGCCGGGACCAGCGCCTGAGACCAGGAGACCCAGGCGCGCACTGCAGCCCCTCCTGGGTTGCGCAGCATGCCTGCACTGCTCTGCAGGCACAGCTAACAGGAGAACATGTGGCCTTAAATAGTGTATAGACTAACGGTGTTAAACAGGGGTCCCTGTGCAGCACACCACTATTTAATTTCCATATGTTACCTCCATGCTTTTTACGGCATCCAGTGTATATTCAGTATATATTTGACTGACAACAAGTGTGAGAGTAGTATACAACTCCTGGGTTTGACTTGAGTCAGGACAACCCATCAAATAAAATCCTATATAAGATTTCAAATTCCTTTATATAAAAAAATATTTCATACATAGTATAGGCTTATTTGCTACTAAAACTGACCTTTTGTTTGCCTGGAGAGTAAATCAAAAGGAAGAAAGTACCGGAGAGTACTGCATAAGCCATGATTGTATGAGCTTCCTCCTCCATCTTCATATACCAGATGTACTTTCCACAGTACTTACTGTAAAGACTCAGTTCCGTATGCCTCGAACCCACAAATATGCCACTGATTTCATGAGTCTTTGGTTGCTAATGAAACAAGAAATGAGACTCCCAGTCTTCATTACAGGAGAAAAAATCCTCCTGTCTTCTCCCCTATGCACACCCAGTTCCTGATAGAAAAACATCTAAATCAGATGTACTGTCTACCTCATTGTAAGCGACTCTAGTTTAGCTTGGATAAACCATATGGCAGCTTTCAAGCATTCAGAGTGAGCCACAAATGTGAAGGATGTCTCCAGGGTGTAATCTAAGGCAATAGAAAGGAGCAGCACACCCTCCACCAAGCTTGGGTCTGGCTCTACCATACGTCATTTGCAGCAGGAGAGGTGCATAGGGAAACAGATGCAACAGCCTTACCCATTCATGAGGTGACCTGTGATACCTAAGGTCACCCACAGTGGTCCCAAGGGTGTTGCACGGGCAAATTCTTCCATCTGTGCAAACAAGCCCAGCGGATTTGAGGAGAGACTTATGTTTCTACACCTTCCTGCCCACCCAGAGCTCCCTGCAAGGGCAGCACTACAGTCTTCTACAACAGCAAGGAAAAGTCCTGACAGCTACAAACACGTTTTCTTAAATGCCTGATGCATGCAAACACAGTAATCTGCCAAGTGGAGCAGGGAAGAGGGTGCAAATTTTTCCTTTGAATGAAAGTACCTTGACTTTTAGTTTGGCCCTGCAGAAATAGTCTCAGTCCTGGAGTGGCAAGATTTGGAGAGTTGGTCCATGTTGAGGGCTGTTCTGTGGGCCTGCATTTTTCAGAAAAAATAAATTTGTAAGTTACGTAGAAAAGGGAGGCAAGGAAGCAGGAGTGAATGGGTGAGAAAGATGTTTGCATGTTCTTAGGCAGAAGTGGAGATTAAAATAATCATTAAAAAGTATTTAACATAACGGGTCTAGAGTTGAGAGTTTTGCTGAAGTAAAGAGCAACCCTGTTAATTCTGAGCGTTTCAATTTGTAAATTCAAGCAAGTAAGGTGCTAGACCGCTCTATGGCTTTTTTATGTCACTAAGCCATTCCAGTAGCTCAGCTGCTCAGGTGGCTTTACTTCATGGCACATCACGATTTTCTTAAAGCGAGAAACAGAGAACTGAATCCGTTCTGGAAAAAATGTCTGCTCTGAATGAAGCTCCTCCAGCTGAATTTTTAATTTGGCAAGGCACAATCCTATGAATACATCCTCCAGTTTAATGAACGGGACACTCTCTGAAACATCATAGATCTCACTAGCAACGTCAGTGGATAAAACATAGCCAGTTCCTGAACAAAACGGCGGGTAGGTGCCTCCTGGATATTCTTTCTTACTCACATACCACTTACTCTTTGTTTTCCGTATAGGGTACTCGTGCTGTTTTAAAAAGCCTGTGAAGAACCTAGTGCTCCTGTTTTTTCTTAAAAGAAGCTCAGTGAGGTAAAAGACGTTGACAAACACATCTGTGTCAGTTTTCATCACGAAGCTGGACTGATAACAAAATTTGTGAATCCATTCCATTCCCATCATAGTCTTCAAAGTCAAATTGTAATACGTATCCGTAAAATTCTTTTGAATAACATCTTTGTATTTTTGGCTTTCAGCAATAATATCAGCCTGCTGGCTGTGATTCACAGTGGTTCCCAGGAGGAAATACGTTACAATGCGTTTGCCGGTGACTGTTCTCTCCTTGCCCCAGGTTTGCCGGATGGCCATCCTGGCGTCGACGTGGTGGCCCGAGGATGTCACAAGCAGGACGAGGAAAGGGGGATCCTTATGGCAGTCTGTATCTGGGAGCAGCAAGAAGTTTTCATTGCTTCTCCTAAAAGTCTGTGGGGGGAAGATGTAATTTTCGCTCTTTTCACAGAACACACAGAATTCAGTCAAACTGATGTACAAAAGCCATAAGCTGGCACAGCTGAGCCCTACGAGGCAAAAAAACATCCTGAATTTCTTGAAATACATCTGAAAGAGACAAGAAGGAATGGCATATTAAAAACAATAGAACAGAAGACAGAAAAAATTATCTAGTTCCTTTCAGTGCTGTATACTAAACTCCCTGCTACTGCACAGGGATTTAAAGCCAGGTCATCTTTGATTGAAAGCTACCTTATTCAAGTCACTCACCCACACATGTTTTTCTTAGTATAATTCACACCAGATGCTCAGCAGGCAATAAGACTCATGCTCACACTTCCTTGAATCTGCCTGCCAAGCCAGTATACCCTTGAAAATCCACACGAGAGGGCCTGCCAATGCCAGGTCACCCTGGCTGATGCTGCGGGCCTCCTCACCATTTTCAGCATGTTGTCAAACATGACTTTGACCCACTGGTCCCCTCACAAGCCAAACAGTGGAGAAACAGCAGATAGGTGCCCTGGCCAGATATGAGAGGATAACAGTAATAGTTCGAAATACCTTATTTCTCCATTCATTTGAAAAGTAGCTGGTCCTGAACCAGCAAGCCCTGGCCGATTCCCAGACCAAACCAGACCCCTAAGTTCCTCCCATCTTCATCCTCTTCATGCCCAGTGGGGCTCCTGCACCGACCCAAGCACCACTCCGGACCTTTCTGCTGGAGGGGCCATAAGTCATCTCTCTGAGGTCAGATCAACTGCTTGGAGAAAGACAAAAAAAATACAGTAGGTCAGATTAGGTTGATGTTTCTTCTTTTGCTGAGTTTAGGTGACTCATTAGAGCATGTTGAGGTGAGAGAGGGTGGGCTTTACCCTCACACACCTCTTCTTAGGTGAAAGAGGTGGTCAAAAAAGTAACATTTCTCATTCATTCATTCATTCTTCTAACAGATGAATGTGCTGGGTAACTGGTCACAAATCTGATATAAATTTTGAGAGAGAGAAAAATGATCAAAGTAAATCCAATACAATCCTCAGAGCTGTAAGTTTCATGGAAATTTGATCTCTTCAAACCTTCCAACCAGGAATGTTCTACCTGGACTCCCCGAAACCATGGTAGTGTCCTTCTGTTGCTCAAATTCAGACATAGACCCACAGCTTCTTCCCTTTCCACGCAATGAAAGGGTTTTGCATGGCAGGCATAAATGCATATTAAAGTCCAGGCAGCAGTTCCTGGGATCAAATCCAGCTCACTTTGCCCATAAGAGTAGTCCTATTAACTACAGTAAGTATTCTCATAAGCATTAATCAAGCAGAACTGAAGCACTGGTTTGCTGTAATTCATCCCACAGTGAAGTGTATTTTTGTAATGATTCACTAATCAGTTTTGAGAATATATAGAATTTTCACATTTCTTCTGCCACTTATGTTTAACTTAGCCTATTTTTAGATTGAATATTCTTCAGATCTGTTTTTTCGTGTACGTATAGCTCACAGTAGCATTTGGAGATTAGCTTAAAATTTGTTTTAGTTATATATAGATAGGAAATTTTGTGTATGTGTATAAATATATGAATATACATACATGCACACACATGTATATATGATAGCATACCAAAATCTGCTCTGCATCTGTTCTCACTTTCTTCAGGGCTGGGAGGAGCATATGAATATACCGAAAATGGTGTTTTTAGAAAAGGATAAGGCTTAGAGGCTGACAGCAAAGCTGCAGAAAGGATTTACTCCTGTCATCTGCTCTCATGAGACTATTCAAGGGACTCACATCTCAGCAGCTGCAATTGTGGAATACTCACAAACAAAAGCTTTTGAAATACTCAACTAAGAAAATAGTTGAGAACAATTTCCTATGGAAACCTACTGAAACTTTTTCAGTAATACTCAGGATGAAATAAACAACGTAACCTACTCATTTTACCCAGTTTCAGCAGTATCAGGGTAATGTGACTTCACTATAGTTACTTGTGACTTTTTTCCACGTTCAGTAACTGCTAAGAGATCTAAGCAAGCAGAGACCATGTCCCAGTGGTGAGCTGCAGGCGCGTTTCCAAGCTCCCCCAGCCCTGGGACATGGCCTGGAAGCACTGTGGCACCATTCCTGCCCAAGACCTGGGCTCCCACCACGATCCTTGTCTCCCCGATACCACAGCAATGGTGGGGAGGGGGTCAGCCAAGCATGCAGCACCCACAGCATCCTCCAGAGAGGTCCCTTATATGGGTGACTGGGAGACCAGCCTCCCAGAGGACAGCCTGGCAAGTGCTCACCATACTGTCTACCCATAGCCAATATCTTCCTTTTTCAGTCCAAATATGAAGAAGCATACCCTATGCAAACATATAACCACACAGACACACTTACACACGCATCTCAACCAGTACTTTCACCATATCATCACTTTCCTTTGATACTGGCAATGCTAATGTTAGTAAATTTATGTAAATTGTAACATATAATTGTCAGTTTTGCAAATTGCACATACAGCAGGCCCCTGCCTATAGGTAAAGCTGAACCCTACCTTCTGTTGTAACAGTTCTATTCCCTTGTTTTCAGTTCACTTTCTTGACAAAAATTCCTTTTGTTTTGCAATGTTTCCCAGCTAATTTACAATTAAAAAAGATGATTTGTTAAATTAGTTAGTTCAACCATTCTTGAGTAATTCTGCCATGAAATAAGTTGAAACTTTGCACTCTGGCTGATTTTTAATTGCAAAGCCTCTAGAAAGTTTCAAGCACTCATCTCGGATAATGCACAAGCAGAAAGAATACCCTTGTCAGGTTGTACTCTGCAGATGTTACTTTGTAAATACCCTACAGATTTCTTTGGGAATTGCTGTACAGTGAGCAAAAGATGTTAGGATCCTGAATTTTCAGTGTTTATTCTGTTCTTTCTGAAATTACAATTCACAGTCCAGCTAGAAAATTCGAGGCATTCAGCCTCATTTTACTGAACAGATACAGAGACATTAAAGTCATTTTGGGTAACATGTTCACTAAAGCGAGTAAAGAAATCAGTTGAGGGTGTTTCGTGAGAAAACAGAGCCCATTTTGGGGGGGATTGACCCACTCCATTTAATCTCGCTGCCATCCTCCAGCACCACAGACCCTGATCAGCAGCTCACACCGCCCTGGAGCAGGGTCCCAGGGAGTCCCAGCCTCCCTGCCCCTATAGGAGCTGTGCCCAGTCTTCTACCGCCATCCCATTTCTTCTCCATTTCACCCTGGTGATATTCTTCCCCCATTATACCTCCAGTTCTCCTCTCCCGATAAATTTTGCAAACGCATCTGGTACAGGCAGGAACAAACACAGGTATCTGACATGGTGGCCCCATCTTTCATCTGTTACCCTTCAGCTCTGAAGAAGGGCAGGGGTACCCCAGACCGCACCGGAGGCCAGCAGGTATCCCGGTGTCTCAAGCACCCAAATTTGGCACTACTTTACAAGTTAGGCATTTACTGAAAGATTGCCCAGGGAAAGCGTGACAGAGAGAAGACCAGCTTCCTTTGTCCACGGCCATTTTTCTTTTAAAACCACCACCTTCCTTCTTGTTGTTAGGTGAATAGGGAAGATTTTGAAAATTAAAAGCCACTCTATGTTAACACAGGCAGAGAGGTTCCTCAAACCACTTAAGCCGACTTCTCGGCAATTAAATCTCACCGGCGTTGGCTCCATCGCCATGGGAAGCTGAGCTCAGAGGGGAAGCGTTAGCCCCACCCATCCTGTCCCTCACCCCATCTGTGATCAGCAAGTTTTGTTTCCTGGGGGGAGCAAAAACTCTGTCTCCTATTTCCTGAGTAAACTACCATTACATGAAGGACAGTCAGAGAGCAACTGATGCCATTGTGTTTGAACAGCAGAACATGGCTGCGACTGCATTTAGCAAAACAGTCACAGTCCAGTCTATTATTCTGACGGACAGATATGAGCATAGGTTAGGTGGGACAGGGCCTGTGGTTTCTAAATTACCTAATTACCTGCATTTTTCCTCCTTTCCCTGCATCGGACAAATAATATAGACTGTAATTCAAGATTTCCAGCCAGTTCACATATATCCTAATGGAAAAGTCCTGGAGATGTTGATACGAATAAGACAAAAGTTCTGCTCCAGAAAACAGTGGAGTCTTATAGCAATCAATCTCTTCTTCTATAGGTTATTTTGAACAGCATTCAATATTTTTAACATCAAAATAAATCTCTCAAGTTTTATAGAAAATCATTTTGCATTAAGTTCTACTTGATTTTTCTCTCCCATCTGAGTCAGAAATTGCATGGTTTGTAATTACTTCAAAGCTTTTTCACTCTCCCATTGCTCCAGCTGCAAAATATTTTGCGTAGAGCACTGCCAAAAATTACCTGCTTTGTGACCCAAAGAGTTGTTTGTTTAGACTGGCTGGCACAGTGCTTTATGGCTCTATATAGATCCGAAAGAAGTTTGCACTAAAGCCTGGGACCAAAGCTATGCAGGCAACAGGAACTGCAGCCAGATGCTCTTCCTGCACACACCTAAAACAAATGAACAAGATACAGGTAGTTGAGATCCATGATCCCATTCAGCCGAATTGCAGCTGTCTACCTTGCAAGTACCTAAACGCATTCGGTACTTTCTTTTCAGCCGAGGAAGCTCCGCAAAGGCTGGTGGTCACAGTCCTTTGCTGGAGTGCCAGCAGCAGCTTCTTGCCTGAGTCTCAGTGTGATCTAGAAAGCAGCCAAAGCAATAATTTCGAGGTTGTTGGCACTCATCAAGATAAACAGTATCTGAATTTAATTTCTCTCAGCAAAAGAGGAGAGAATTTATTTGCCATCATCCACGTCCCAGGAGGTTTCCCTAAGCACCAAATTAAAGTTACTTGTACTTGGCTGCCTCTGGCCGTGTTCACCCCATTTCCCTTTCCTCCACTCAGAGTCCGCCAGGCAAACACCAAGCTGCAAGAGCAGAACAGGATCCTCTCCCTCAGAGAAAGCATTTCAACCTTATTCTGAGCATAAGCTGCTCCCTCTTATATGAGCAGAGGGAGCTGGGGCCTTTGTTCCAGCTGTCCCTTGGCTAGGTGGGTCAAGCACCCTGTGAGTCAGTGCTGGGGAGAAGCCTATAGAAGAACCAGGCCCAGAGCACAGTGAACAGTGGCAGCATTTTGTGCAGTGGTGTCTAGGCTCTGCTTAGGCCTTCAGAGAACCTTGTTGGAAGTTGTGGGGGCTTTCTGGGGACCCTCTGAGGAACTAGGCGGTGCTTGCTGCTGGCAGCAAAGGAGAGCTACACAAGGATAGCTATAGGAGGCCTTAACTTCTCCTGGGAAGCTCTAGCTAGGTGTAGCTGCTGCTAATGAGCTCTGTTGGTTGCCTCTGATCAGAGGGAGTTGGGGCCTTTGTTCCAGCTGTCCCTTGGTTAGGTGGGTCAAGCACCCTATGAGTCAACGCTGGGGAGAGGCCTAGAGTGCAGTGAACAGATGCAGCATTTTGTGCAGGAAGGTGCACAAAGGTGCCTTTGTCTCCAGTCTCAGTAGTGTATGCTGCCTCAGATATAGTTATGACATGCCGCAGAGCACATTCCCTCGTAGCTATTGGAGTTGCTGCATCAGCTGTGTCAGAGGTTTCCACCCAGACGGACCTTCCACACCTTTGCAGGTCTCAGGTTGCATGGAGTGCCTGGGGCCTCTCCATGAAGCTGGGGATGTCAGTCATCTTTTCTGCAGAAGGTCAGCTCTTGTTGACAAGTTGTGTCACCAGGTCAAGAAGTTACAGAAGGAAGTGGGCTGCATAGCATCCAAGAAGACAAGCGAGAGATAGGATATTCTCAGGGACCCTACAGCTTCAGGAGTCTCAACTCCCCACAGCAGTGGAGATGCAGGTAGGCTCTGTGCCATGTGAAGCAGTAAGTCCTAAGTCTGTAGAAGATGAAGGCTAGAACCTGGTCACTTCTTATATGAGGAGAAAGGCTTTGGCTCTTCCTGAAGACTTGCAGTTGATGAACAGGTTTAGTGCCCTCCAAGCTGAGGAGCGGCTGGGCATGGCTTCAAGTGAGGCAACTAAGCCAACAGACCCTGTGCCATGCAGGATCACCCGGAAGAAGTGGCAAGTGATTGTTGCGGGTGACTCCCTGCTGCAGGGGACAGAGGCACCTATCTGCTGACCTGACCACATCTAGGGAAATTTGTTGCTGGCTGGGGGCTTGAATCCAAGTTGTCATAGAAAGACTGCCGAGGCTTAGCCACACATCTGACTGTTACCCCTTGCTACTCTTCCACGTGGACACGAACAATAATAAGGGCAACTTGAAAACTATCAAATGGGATTTCAGAGCTCTGGGGACAGTGCCTCCAAGGGTCTGGGGCATAGGTCATTTTCTCCTTGATCCTGCCAGTGAGGGGGAAAGGATGGGAGGAGGAGCAGATGGATTCTCCAAGTAAACAGCTGGCTGCACAGCTGGTGTCAGCAACAGAGTTTTGGTTTCTATGACCACGGGACTCTGTTCGAAGATCAACAAATGACTGGGAGAGATGGGATCCACCTCACAAAGTGGGGCATATGTCTCTTTGCCAACAGGCTGGCCAACCGGGTAACACTTTTGATGCTGTCTCCCATCACATCCT